CACTTTGAACCATATTTCAAAAGGTATAGTTAGTGAACTCGATTAGTCCATCAGTTTGGGAATGGACATTATTGCTTCTATTCAAATTGGTTCCGAACAACTTCCACAACGTAATCCAAAAGTTCCCCCAAAAACTTTGTATCCTGGTCTGATGTGATAGACTTGGAAACTCTATGCAATCTAACAACCTCCCTGAAAAACAGTTTGGCAATACTCAATGCATCTGAAGTCTTCTGACAAGCTATTAAATGAGCAATTTTGGAGAACCTGTCCATCACCACAAAACATAAATCTACGCTCCGTTGGGTACAAGATAATTCCAGAACAATCTCTGATTATAAATAAACTTCAAGACTTGGTATTCAGTGAACAATATGAACTCATTTTGTACATGGTAATGTTCCCACTCCACTTCTACCTAACATCACTCAAAATTTTTTGAAAAGAAAGCCATGGGTCTCTTCTTTTGAGAAAGGATAATCCCAACACCTACATCACTAGCATCACACTCCACCTCAAAAATCTTCTCGAAGCTTCACAAAGCTAATACTGGAGTTGTTTACAATTTTTCTTTGATGAAGGTGAAGTTCTTACTCTTATCCCCAACGGAATCTTTTTTCTTTAAACATTAAGTGAGTGGTGCCACAACAGTGCTAAAATGCCTTATAAATTGCCTATAGAAAGTTATTAAATCATGAAAACTCCTTACTTCAAAAGTTGATTTTGGTGTTGGCCAATCTCGGATTGCTTTTGTCTTCTTTTCGTCTACATGCAGATCATTTTCACCAATCACAAAGTCTAGAAAAAACAGCTTATGTGTATAGAAAGTACAATTCTTTAGGTTGATGTACTTTTGATTTTCCTTCAGAACATCTAGGACTTGCCTCAACTGAATCATGTGATCCTCATTGGACTTGCTGTAAATAAGTATATCATCGAAATAAATCATAGCAAAAGACCCAAGAAAAGGATGAAGAACCTGGTTTATTACCTTTATGAAGGTACTTGGAGCATTTGAAAGTCCGAATGACAACACTACCATTCGTAAAGTCATCTTTACTTTTAAAGGTAGCTTTCCATTCATCTCCAGGTTTGATACGGATCTGGTGATAGTCACTGCGAATGTCTATCTTTAAGAAGACATTAGAACCCACAAGTACATCAAACATGTCCTCAAACCATGGAATTGGAAACCTGTACTTTATTATTATCTTGTTGATAGCACAACTGTCAATACACATACGCCAATTTACATCATTCTTTGGTACTAGAAGGACATGCACCACACATGGATTCATACTCTCCTTTATAAATCCTTTCTTCAATAGCTCCTTCATTTGCTCAATCAGAATCTCGTTCTTCTTTGTACTCATTTGGTAATTAGGCAAATTTAGAAGGCTAGCCCCAAGTACAAAATCAATCTGATGCTAAATATTCCTCATAGAAGGTAACTCAATCAACAATTAATTGAAAACCAAATCTTCAAATTCTGTCAATATTTCTTGCACCTTAGATGGAACAGCCCCATCTTCCTTATTTGCTATAAAAAGCCCCTTAACTACAACTGGATAAAAGCAATCAGATTCTCTTGTAGAGTCTGCAATCTCAAGAAACTCTCTGTTTATTGTTGAGTAGACTTCTTCACTCGTTTGAGATGAACCATAGCGTTCTTATAATTTCCCATGAAAAGAGTATTACATTATCAAGCCCTTTGAGAGTTGAATCCACATCAAATTGTCGTGGACGACCCAATAGGAAATGGCAAGCATCCATGTCTATGACATCACACATAATTTCATCCTTATAATGCTTACTGATGGAAACAAGTACTTTGCAAGTCTCAGCAACTTGAACGGAAGGACTTCTCTTCACCCAACTAAGTGAATAAGGTTTAGGATGGTTCTTAGTTGATAGTTTCAACGAATTCACCAACCTCTTCAACATAAAGTTCTCACAACTTTCGTTATCCACAATAACTTCATACACTTTATTCTTGATAGAACAAAGCGAACGGAAGATGCAATGATGTTGTCCCTCATCCTTAGGTGACAAAAAGATTCGCTGTAGTATCAAAGTGAGTTTTTCTACACCTTTCTCAACAGTAAACTTTACTCCTAGACATTCATCTTCTACCTCAATGTCTTC